CACTAAGCCTGTCGTTGATTCCCTCGTTTTAAAAGTTGCATCTGCCATGGCTCTGCCATGGGCACGAGAACGGCAGGTGCCATGGGAGGCAGGGTCTCTGAGGGCATCCTGGCTTCACCTCGGCTGCCCTGCACGCCAGCTCTATGTGCAGAGGTCCTTAACGTTGCACTGGAAGAAATGGGAAATCGCATTGAGGACTTACAGAAGAATGTCCATGACTTAATGGTGCAAGCCGGCATTGAAAATTCTATGAAAGAACAAATGGTAAGGTCGTTATTAGGAAACTATGTCAACCTTTTACATATCTTTTGATTGCTTTCACCTTGAAAAATACAATCCCATATTTGTTCACTATGAGAATTACTGCCTTTGTGCTGCATGAAAACTGCCAGGAATAAATTTCCAAATGCTCTTTTTCTTTCTTTCTTCTCTTTCTTTTTGTGATGGGGTCTTGCTCTGTCACCCAGGTTGGAGTGCAATGGTGTGATCTCAGCTCACTGCAACCTCCACCTCCTGGGTTCAAGCCATTCTCCTGCCTCAGCCTCCCAGGTAGCTGGAACTACGGGCATGTGCCACCACGCCCAGCTAATTTTTGTATTTTTAGTAGAGATGGGGTTTCACCATGTTGGCCAGGCTGGTCTTGGAACTTCTGACCTCAAGTGATCCCCCCGCCTCGGCCTCCCAAAGTGCTGGGATTAGAGACGTGAGCCACCACGCCTAGGCACAAACCCTTCAACCCAGTACTGCTCAGATTGTTTGCAGTTAATGAATTTCAAGAGTTTCAACATGCTTTGCACATTCATAGGATGGCTTTTATCCATGGAGACGCTGAGAGCCGTGACCACTTTACAGAAGGCCACAGGGAGGATGGTGGGAGGGCTGTAGGCACTCTCACAGCTTCTGATGCTGAACATAAACACGCCACGAAAGAATGCTGGATCAGAGGCACGTTGAAAGCTGTTAGTAAAGACGACGTAGAAAAAAACGATTCAGAACAGCGCCCACGCAGAGCAGGTCCTCCCACCTGTGCCCACGCAGATGCTTTCCCAGGGACCCTCTGAACCTCCAGGTCAGAAAGCTGGTGAGCCATGAAATCACCCTGCACTTTAACTTTGGGGTGTGGTCTGTTTGCCTAGGCAGGGATGGCAGTGCTCTGATTCTGCTGGACTGAAGTCCTCATGCCTTCTCTGCATGAGCTCAGAGCAGAGGCAATCTGCCCCAGACACCTAGTCAAGTCTCCTGCAGATACACTGGCATCTTCACCTTCAGACATTTATTCTGAAAGTCTTAAAGCAGTGTCAGTGGCCCCACACTCTATGCAGCTTTCTGCCCCTTGCTTTTTTGTTCAGTACTGATTCATGTTGACATGTGTGGCTCTAGGTCAGTCGCTAAGTGCTACGTAACTGTCCTCTGATTATCTACTTTCTATTTGACTGTTTCTAAACAGTGCTGCGATATTCTTGTTTATTTCTTTGTGTACATATTGCCAGTTTCTCTAGGGACCTTGATTATTCTGTACCTGGGGGCCTGTTGCCTGAGTTAGCTGCCACAGGTAATTTCTGGACTTTGCCTAAAGCCATCCTGGGAAGACAGGAAACAGAAATCACTAGCTGCCCGAGAACTAGTTAATGCAACTTGACTACAGCACTACAGTGCCACAGATGAGGCAAGGCTGGGCAGCCACGCAGGCCCAGGCTTCAAAATCTTATCCTCTGCTACTGGCTGTAATCTGGGAAATCTAAGCTTTAGTTTTCTTCTCTGCAAAGTATCTACCTGGTAGGTGGTTGTAAGGTTTTGAGAAAATTGCAAAGCACTTAGGTCAGGGCAAGGTAGACAGTAGGTACATGACGAGATAAACTTGAGACAGAGTCCAAATCATTATGATTTCAACTGTATTGCAGTCACAGAGCACCAATGAAAAGGTTATTAAAATCAAGGGTTAACAAACGTACTACACCTGATATGTTATGGACTGAACGTTTATGTCTCCCTAAATAGCTGAAGACCTAACTGCAGCATGTCTGTATTTGGAGATGGGGCATCTACAGAAGTAATTAAGGTTACATGTGTCCTGAGAGGGGGACCCTCATCCAACAGGATTTGTCTTTCTGAGAAGAGATGCCAGGGGCTTGCCTGCCACCTCCTTGCCTGCACCAGAGAAGGTGGCCATCACAAGCCAAGGAAAGCCCTCCCCAGAAATCACACAGACTGGCACCTTCTGGGATTTCCAGACAAGATAACTGTGAAAAGACAAGTTCCTGCTGTTTAAACCACCCAACCTGAAGTATTTTGTTATGGCAGTCCCAGGCAGAATATTACAATATGCAACACATTTACAATAAATCATGATAAACTTACAAATGTGGAATGTCATTGTTTAATGTTTTCTGGTAACAGCCAATAAAGCTGACACGAGACATAATTCATATACCATCCACCAATTATGCAAATCAGTGGGTTTTGATAGAATTGTGCCAACCATTACCACAATCTTAGGACACTTTTTCTTTTTATGCTTATTCTTACGTATGCACATTTTCATTATGTCAAAAATGAAGCTGTGCCCACTAGCTATCACCTCCTATTCTTCCTCCCTCCCAGTCTTAAGCAACCACTAATCTGTCTCTATGGATTTGCCTGTTCTAGAAAAGCCGTATAAATGGAATCACACAATACGCAGCAATGGGCTTTTCACTTAACCTAATGATTTCTGTGTTCACCCACACTGTAGCATGTATCAGTACTTCATTTCTTTTTATGACCAAATAATATTCCATTGTTTGGATGGACATTTTAAACATTCCTCTGTTGATGGACACTTGGGTTTCCACATTTTGGCTTCTGTGTACAAGTTGCTATGTGGACATATGCGTTCAATTCTCTTGGATATGAGACTGCTGAGTCAAAGGGTAACACCATGTTCATGAGACAGGGTCTTGCTTGGCTGCCCACGCTGGAGTGCAATGGTGCAACCATGGCTCACTGCAGCCTTGACCTCCTGGGCTTAAGTGATCCTCCTGCCTCAGCATCCCGAGTAGCTGGGACCACAGGCACACACCACCATGCCCAGCTAATTTTTTTTTGTATTTTTTGTAGAGACAGGGTCTCACCAGGTTACCCAGGCTGGCTGAGAACTCCTGGGCTCAAGCAATCCGCCTGTCTCAGCCTTCCAAAGTGCTGGGAATACAGGCATGACACCTGCACCCGGTCCATGTTTAACTTTTCAACAATCTGCCTGCCTGTTTTACCATTTTCCTACCAGGAGTGTGTGAGGGCTCTAATTTCTCTACATCCCTGCGAATGCTTGTTGTGACCCCTTTTTGAATCTAGCCGAACTCGTGAGTGTGAAGTGGCATCTCACTGTGGTTCTGGGATTTGTACATCTTAAAAAGCAGTGATGCTGAGTGTCTGTTTGTGTGCTTACTGGCCATGTTTCACCTCTCTGGAGAAACATGAGGAGTGTAATACTGAGTGTCTACTCCATGCCAGGTTCTCGAGGTCACTTAGATGTTCTCCCTAGTTCCTCACTCTGATATGGTGTTACACTCTCCTACTTCATACATGGAAAAATCAGTACTAGGGAGATTAAACTGCAGATTTGTGTTTGAATTTTAAATCCACTTTAAAAGCATACACTCATTTGCATGTGTAAAAAATGTGCTTCATTCTGTAAGTACCTCTGTTTTCACAACAGCAATCAATCTACTGACAGCAATGAGCCCTGTCCACCACTCCTGTGCCCAGCAAGCACCATGTGCTTCCCTGTGTTTACATCTGTGTGCAGGGCAGACACTCTTATCTGCCTCTGCCAAGGAGAAAATGGAAGCTCAGAGAAGGTACCCTGCCTGAGGTCACTCGGTGGGGGCAGAGCCTGGGTCTGAGGTCAGAGGGCCCCCCATCTCTGCCCTCCCTCACTTTCACTTCAAAGTATGAGCGTGCTGAGACGGGACACGAAGATCTCAACCAACGCCATCCACACTGCTAGGGTGAGGGGCACAAGAGAAACCTGAGATTGTAATAAGGAAATTTTCTTTTATCTTTTGTTTTTTTTTTTTTTGTTTTTGAGACAGTCTTGCTCTGTTGTCCAGGCTGGAGTGCAGTGGTGCGATCTCGGCTCACTGCAACCTCTGCCTCCTAGGTTCAGGCGATATTCCTGCCTCAGCCTCCTGAGAAACTGGGATTACAGGCATGCATCACCACGCTTGGCTACTTTTTGTATTTTTAGTAGAGACGGGCTTCACCATGTTGGTCAGGCTGGTCTCGTACTCCTGACTTTATGATTTGCCTGCCTTGGCCTCCCAAAGTGCTGGGATTACAGGCGTGAGCTACTACGCCCGGCCAATCAGGAAATCTTCTAACTATAAGAACTGAAAACGCCATGGCTTCTACAGAAAATATGTTTACATCAAATACAATCTTGGGAAAAATTAAAAAATAGATCTCCTACTCCTTAAAGGGAAAGCTCTAAACAACAGTTTATTGTACCATTTTTATAACCAAAGTAAGAATAAGCCTTTGGATTCTGTCATGGGTTGAACTGTGTAACCCCAAAATTTATATACTGAAGTCTTAACCCCCAGCACTTCAGACTGTGACTTTTGTGGACACAAGATCCTTGCCAAGTGTAATTAGTTAATATGAGGCCATGCTGGAGCAGGGTGGCCCCCAATCCAACACAAATGGTGTCCTTAGGAAAAGGGGAGATTTGGAGACCAGCACCCACACAAGGAGGACACCATGTGAACTGAAAGTGAAGGCAGAGATGGGGTGAAGCATCCACAAACCAAGGAACGGAAAAGATCACTGGCAGCCCCCAGAGGCCAGGGACAGGCCTCAGCAGTTCCCTCACAGCCTCAGAAGGAACCCACCCTGCGACACCCTGATCCTGGACCTCCTGCCCGTGAAGATGTGAAAGCATACATCTCTGTTGAGGCCACCCAGTTTGTGGCTTGCTGTCACACACCCCCAGCAAACAAATCAAGTATGCAAAACACAAAGCCTCAATGGATAAATACCTTCATTTTACTCCAAGGATAAGAATTAACTTTGACTCAGAAAATCAGTCATCTATTTGAGTTTCCCAAGAACAAACAAGTAGGACTGCTCCTCTCACGTGCTTGTTCATTTCAGTTAGTTAAGGCCACGGAATGAATTCCATCTCAGAGGTCCTCCAGCCCTGGAGCTCCAAAGGCTTTAAATAACTTAAAACATTTCTGCACGAAAAAGGCTACACAACACTGACCGCACAGACTGAGGGCGCCTCAGTATCGGTACTTGGTGGAGTAGTCCTTGGGGGACACCACCAGGCCGCGGCCTTTGCGGGCCCCGCGGTACACTGTCTCGATGATGTCGACCATCTCCTGCTTGTCCTCCATGGCCCAGTTAATCTTGTTGTTGTTGCCAGTCCCCAGGTCAATCATGATGTGCTTGTTCCTGCAGAGAAACACGGACATCCATTCTCATGAAAACCTCTTTAAAATGTCTAAATATGTCTGTAAAAATGCAATGCGTTGTCCACCATGCTTTTTCCTGCATTTTTCTGTGTTTAGGACAAATATTCTAAGGGGAAATTAAAAGATCAAAGGAGGGCAGGCGCAGTGGCTCATGCCTGTAATCCCAGAACTTTGGGAGGCTGAGGCAGGAGGACCACTCAAGACCCGGAGTTCCAGACCAGCATGGATAACAACACGAGACCCCCATATAATTTGCACTCATTCACTCAGTTTTTCACGGTGTTCTTCTGAGCACTGACATAAATTCTATTAAAAGCCCTACCAGGCCTGGCGCGGTGGCTCACGCCTATAATCCCAGCACTTTGGGAGGCCGATCTAAGATGGCCATTTAGGAACAGCTCAGGATTGCAGCTCCCAGTGAAAGCGCAGAGGGTGAGTGGACGCTGCATTTTTATTGCCCACAGACTAGGAAATTCCCAGGCGGAGGAGCCCCACGGGTCGCCAGCGCGTCTGCTTTGTCAGCACCCCGGCGCAGCGGTTCTCCACACAAAATACACTGGTCCGGGTGCCCTTTTGGCTGGCGATTAGAGTCACGGGAAGTCGCCCATTCATCTGTTTAAAAAGGGGACTGAACGGGGAACCAGGACAGTAGATTCCAGGGCAAAAAAAGCCCCACGAATCTCAGTGCCACTGTTTAAGACAGCGCAGTGAGTCGCCACACGGGAAAACACACAGATCCTGGCCCCTCTTCAACAGGCAACTGGAACACCAACTTAAAAAAAAAAAAAAGGCTCTGAGGCAAGTAGCCAGGTAATCAAGCTCAGCTGGTCCCACCCCCACAAAAGAACAGCAATCAGAAACTCTCTGGATTGAGAGTTTCACAGCAAGCGCAGCTGAACCCAGGACGGTCCAGCTCTGTGGGGGAGGGGCGTCCGCCATTACCGAGGCACTCCAACACTAAGGAGGTAGTCAGCCAATGCTGAGGCAGCCTGCCATTGCCAAGGCAACCCACCATTGCCGAGGCAGCCCGCCATTGCCGAGGCAACCCACCATTACAGAGAGAGTCCGCCAATACAGAGGTGGGCCACCATTGCCGAGGCAGTTCTAACTACTCCCATATAAACAGGACTGCAGGGAAGTTCACTCGGCAGCTGGGCGGAGCCCACAGCAGCTCAGCAAAGTCTCTACAGGCAGACAGTGACTAGGGTGCATCATTGCTGGGCAGGGCAGCTCTGAAGGAAAAAAAAAAAAAGAAGGCAGCAGCACAACGGAAACTCATAAATAAAGCCCTAAATCCCTGGGACAGAGCACCTGGGAACAAAAAGCAGTTTATGAGTTCTGCTGCAGCAGACCGAAACGTACCTGCCCAGCAGCTCTGAATGAACAACAGAGCTCACAGCTCACCATTTGAGCTCCTATAAAGAACAGACTGTCTCCTCAAGCAGCTCCCTGACCCCTGTATATCCAAAGAGCCACCTCATAAAGGAGAGATCAGACTGACATTTGGCGGTATTCTTCTGGGACAAAGACAGCAGAAGAAGAAAACTGGTAGCAACCCTTACTGTTCTGCAGCTGCTGCAGGTGACCCCCAGGTAAGCACAGCCTGGAGTGGACCTCAGCAGACCTACAGCAGAGGGGCCAGACTGATAGAAGGAAAACCAAGAAACAGAAATAACCTCATCATCAACAAACAGAACGTCCACTCCGAGACCCAATCTGAAAGCCAGCAACTACAAAGACGACAGGTGGATAAATCCATAAAGATGGGAAGAAACCAGCGCAAAGAGGATGAAAACACCCGAAACCAGAACACCTCTCCTCCTCCAAGGGATCACAACTCCTCACCAGCAAGGGAACAAGGTTGGATGGAGAACGAGTGTGATGAAACAACAGAATCAGACTTCAGAAGGTGGGTAGTAAGCAACTTCTGTGAACTAAAAGAACATGTTCTAACCCAATGCAAAGAAACTAAGAACATTGAAAAAAGATTTGACGAAATGCTAATGAGAATGGACAAAATAGAAAGGAATATAAGTGAATTGATGGAGCTGAAAAAC